CCATGTTGTATTTTACTTTGTATCCTGATTCTGAAGAAGTCTGCTTAGACATTTTCACCTAAAGCAGAAAATTCTTGTTAACTTGTGATCTTTGAAGGTAAGCATCACTTGTCATTTGTTTTCTTAAGAAGTTACTACTGTCCCCTCTGTGGTGGAGGAAGCTCTGTTCTAAAGTCCCTAAATTGTTTGAAGATACTGGTCTTACCTTGACTTAGAGTATGGGACTTAGATGTACGCTAATTTAAAAATTAAAGTTAAGAAGAATAGCTTAGAAGTTGGGGGGGATGAAGTGCTTCTCTGGCAGATGTGGGTTTCTAAGATGGGCTTATGGAGAATGGGTGAACTGGTCCCAGATTCGAGAAATATGGTTTATTTCCAGACAAATGCATATGTGAGTGTCTGTATAAGCACGTGTGCACACTTGTCCTGCGTGAATGTGAGAAAACGATGTGAATGTCAGTTATATCATACAAATACTTTTTGAGACTTGAGGAGAATCAGTTTTAAATTAAGTAGTTTGTTAATGCTGGTCTCTGAAGACAGTCCAGGCTTGTGCACATTGAGGTGACTGCTGTTCTCTGCTACCCCACATCCTCATCCTTGAATTTTCAAAGGGGATTGTTTGAGCTAAAGGACAGAACTGCAATTGAATCAAAATCAAGACCTTCCTCTTTCCATTGATAAGTCATGGTTATGGTTCTAACTTTCTTTTTGCTAGTTTCAATAGATTTAGTTAGGGTCAAGTAGCATTAGAAGTTTTCCTCTGAATTCTAGACAGCTTTTAAGTAGAGTCGCAGGATGAGGAGATTATGAATTGAAGTGTTTGTGGCAGGCAGAAAGACAGATAAGGAATACTACTCTCCTCAAATGCCAAGGAAATAATTACACAGAATCAGCATCTTTGATAGCCTCATCTCTAGTGTTAGGATTTCATGAAGGGGTGGCAATTCTGGGAAATTGGTAATTCTAGGAAAGGTGAGAGAATGGTACAATCTGCCATGACAGGTTTTTAGTTTTTCTTTCCTAACAAAATATAATTGATCTGAAGTAGTGAAGCATGACTGAAGCCTTGAAATTTTATTTACAAAAATAAAGAATGTTGAAGGTAATGGAAGAAAAGGGAGCAAAATGCATGTTTATTAAGACCTGGAAATAAGCCAGAGTCATTACTTTGTGAAAATGATAGGGCTTTCTGTGAATAATCTAACTAGAATATCTAACATGTGGAAACTGGGACATAAAAGCTGGTTCAGGAGACCATAGAGCAGCACACAGCCACCACTTGAGTCTTGTATGTTGTTGGATAACCTACCACTCCTGCGAAGTTCCCTCAGAAAGAGTGCGCCTGAGAGCAGTACAGGGAGGATTTGATCTCAGGTTATTTATGGTTCAAAAGGGGTTGAAAATGCATAGTCCAGTATATCAGTGACATTTAAAAAAAAAAAAAAGGATGATGAAAATATAGCAAACAGGCACCTTCTGAAGGAAAAAAAAATCTCTTTAAATCATTATACTTGAAGAAAAAGACAAGATGTCTTCAGTGCACAACTCTTCTGTGGGTAACTGTACCAGACGGTCTTTTCCTACCTTGAGAGAAGTTTAGATTCTCTTTTTGTCTGTTTGTTTCTGCACTGCCACCCCCAGTTTCTGGAAATAGTGTTACACCTTGAGGGACAGCTGGAAAGATTTGTGTCAGAAGTGTTTGTGAAAACAATGTCATTAGTCTCATGTTCGCATTAATTGATTGGGTAGAATATTTAAATTTTTTGTGTCTTTTAATGCCATTTCCTTCTGGAAGATCAGTTTACATAAGGAACACTAAAGTGTCCTTTCCAAAAGGATGTTTTTTATTCCTGTCTTTTCTGATTTATTTTCATTTTTAAACTTTTATTTATTTTATTTAAACAAAATTATCAGCTCTGAGTTCCTTTGGTTGGTTGATGACTTCGGATCAGGGCATTGCCTCCAGTTCTCTTCTACTTTAGTCTGAGTGTAAGGGGAGGGGATGTGTCAAGATGGACACTTGAAGTAAAATAGTGATTTTTGCATTTGGACAAAGGGGCTGAATGAAACCCTGTGAAAAGTGCCATAACACTCACATAGTACACCTGTAACTCTTCCTTTGCTGTCAGCATAAAGTTGTAACGCTCACTTATGGGGAAAAAAAATAAGGACATTGTGAAGGAAAGCAGTTTCCATGTGCCTAGGTACAGCATTTTCACTGAACCCATATGTGTAAAGTGAGGTCTGGTTTCTGTGCACTGAAGGCTGCATTCCTGTCAGATTCCCCCAAGCTGTGCCCACTTGTACTCAGTTGGCTTCTAGAAGCACTAAAGGTTGAGGAGCTTGACAGAAACTTGGAGGCACTTAAATGCTAAAGGCTGATTGTATTTGGTTTTGCTTTTTGGAAGTGCTGGGCTGATAGATTGCTAATAGGGAGGCTTCTGGGGACAGTGTTCCCACTGTAATAGACAACCTGTGTTTTTGAGAGCAACTGAAATTTCTTTTGAATAAACCAGACTCTCTGGTTATGCAGCAAAGTGTTTGTTTCAGGGTGCCATGAGGTTAATGTTGTTTTCATAGAAGCTGTTATGTGAAGAAGTTGTGGGGTCTACACAGCCTTAAAACATTTCTAGAGTGTGTTTTGTTGGCAGGGTTATATTATGATGGAGAGTTTCGTGCATTGCAGAGTGAAAAGAAGCAAGCTAGTTAAACTCTGTGTTCTGTCTCATCTTGGATTAACTTGTCTCACCTTTTTTGCAATAGAGATTTGGTAGGGTAGGGAAAGGATTATGAAAAGAAATATAATAATGTAGTTCAAACTATACTGGTAGTTCAAAAATATTTTAAAACATATTCTCCAGACTGTAGTGTTCAGACTCTTGAAATCCTGCCTGGGAGGGGAGGCACCGCTAAATTACAATCAGCCATAAACAGAAAATCCTGTAGTGCTTTCAAGGGGTGTGTGACAAATGGATAAATAATTTTAAAACAATGAATTTTTAATAGATCTGTCTAGGAAGTAATAAGGTGATAAAAAAATAAAAATTTGCTTCAGTTCATAGGTTGGAATAACTCATACTAAATAATTTTGTTCTCTGTGACCAGACATGCACAGAAGTCATTGCGACTTCATATTTTCTCGTATAATTGTACAAACTTTTGGGCTTTTATAAGGTCTCTTACAAGTTGAGAGCATATTCCTTTGCCTAATCTTCCAAAATAAATTGGAAGTTTTTGGTTTGTAGTGCCATCTTACAGATGACAACCAGAATTGTGCACAGCCTTCTGATGTCACATACTCCTTTTGTATTTGTACAAGCTTGTTCAATCTAGATAGTAGAGGGAATAGGGAAGCCTCAAAATCACCTGTGCTGATACAAAATATTTTAGGATTTTCTACAGAGTCACATAAATACGTTCTCTTTATGCATTCATGTTCAATAAATTGTTCTAAGGTACCACTAAATGGCAACTTACATATACTGGTTTTCCATCCATTGCTGTTCTTTGTAGATATAAAAATAGGGAAACAGAAAAAAAAATGTTCTCATTATGTTTTCTTTAACACATTTGGCTGAGAAATAACTTCTACTATATTCAATATCTTTAAAATATGTTCCAACTTTTGTAAACCACATAATAGGGGTACAGTTGGCTGATGACAAGCTAGAAGAATGTGAGTAGCTAGAATGGTCCCTTCCACTGGGTTTTGGCATCCTAGTAAAATTTGCAGTTGGCATCCTTCCAACTAATACATATTTGGTATTAGTTTATAGCTTATATAATGCATATTTTTTGAACACATTCTAATGTTTCCAAGACGTTCTTCCTAAACACAACCCTTCCAAATTTTTAAAAAAGCAACAGATTTTGATATTTTTCTATATACTTTGCAGGATTTGCTTTTCCAGTGTGTGCACAGGAAAGGTCTTTTCCCTTGAAGTTAACCTGTATTTGCCATTTATCTCCTCTTAATACTGGGTTTAGTCACCGGGATTCAGCATCATTGTGTTCAGAAAAGCAATGGGTTCAGCATCATTGTTTTCAGAACAATGCTGTCATGCTCCATGCTTAGGTGAAACTGTGAAAAAATAATTTCTTGCTTGCATGCAAGTATATCCTAGAATAAAATAGAAGGAAAATTACAGAGTGCACAAAATTGGTTTAAGGCTTACAGAGAAGGTCTCTGTGTGTTTCTGGTGGATGCTGACAACTCCACTCTGGGGTCAGGTTTTGAGGTGTCTATTGCTCCATGGAGAGTGACTGCACACCTCGTGGGGCTGTGACTTGTGCTGGGGCAGAAACCTGGCAGGTGTTTGCCCTGCAGTCCTGCCTAGTTCAAATGCAGTCATGATTTAAGCAGTGATACAATTTGTGTTATAATTAAATAGTGATACAGTGCTGATGCTGCTCCTGCTGTACACTGGCCAAGCAGTTGGTGCGTGGTACTTGTGGTAGCACACAGTGCAGTATTTTACCCTAGGAAAAGGTACATCTGATGTAAAGCAGTTGATTTAAGAGAAAGTCTTAAGCAAAGCAAAAAGCAAGACATTGTAGGGAAGCTGTGCTGATTATCTTATGTAATGACCTTTTCTTAAGTTCCTTCTGTTCCTCTTGATTTGTAAATCTCCTCAGCTTTTGTCAGAAGTCAGCTTTAGTAAAGAGAGGGGCCAAGCAGAAGTCCAAGTGAAATGAAGGTGCCATTTTTGTTTGGTTTTGTTCTGCTTTCTGTATGCTTTTCCCTGCTTATACTTCTAACTGTGGCAGCAGATGGCAACAGAAGCCTCCCTCAACCCACACAAAATTGATAAGAGTTTCCAAATTGCATTTCTACAGTTGCAGTCTGGCTGCAGTGAGAAGAAACCCACGGCTAGTGTAGATCCTGGATAGTTGAATACCATTTGTAGTGTATTCTTCAGTATAAGTCTTAAGACCTCTGTTTTTCTAATCTCTGTTCCATTAATTTTTTTCCCCCAATTTAAATTTGTGTATTACAGGCAGAATCAGCAAATTAACAGTTTACATCAGAAGATAAGGGAGAATGAAATACGAGCTCAACATGCAAGACTGAGCCATCTTGTGAACTGCGAAGAACCATACCTGAGTAACTTACAGGTAGGATGAAATGCTTTTCTTTCAGCAAAGCTTTCCACTGCCCAGCACCTGGCACCTAAAAGCAGGTGCTTTCACAATTTGCTCTTCACAATTTTCTGCTGGCCAGAGTGTAGAGCTTTTGTGAGTCTTGATGGCTGTGTAATTGCATAGCTGCAGATTGTGTAGAGAAGACCTTCTAAGTGTTGTAGTTTACTTTATATTTGCAGAAATCTAAGTTTTGTTCAAGTCTTGTTCATACTTGAAGACTGATAAGATGAAGACTGATAAAATAAAATAGCAATGAAGGATTGTGACACTATAAGAGTTTTAACAGCATCCATGTATGGCAGTCCTACAGGGAGATAGTAGGAGAAAAAATAGTTTGCTCGGAGAGTATCTGAAAATAACTCATGAGAGGTTTTTTGAAGAGGAGGAGGTACTGCTCTCCTGCTTAGATGGTTAGATTTTATGGATAGAGTAGATGGAGGAGATATGAGAAGGCAAACAGACTGGTGGAATACCTTTTGACAAGAACTTGAAAAGGATATGGTCTAGTGCTTCTAGGGAGCACTTCGTCTGAAAGGGAATGTCTGGTGGTGTTTTGAGTATACTTGTCCTAAGTTTCATCTGCCTAGCACAAGTATCAAGTAGCATAAGGATGAGGTAGCAAAGGTTCACCAAGAAATGCAGATCATTGTGAAGACTGTGGCTGTTTACAGTGCACAAATTCCATCTCCAGGCCTTGGTATATCTAAAAGGCAATGCAGCAAGGGATTGTTAAAGGCAGATATGCAGAGAAATAGCTTTTCTATCCCTCTTTTATTATGTTATCTTTTTCTGTCACAAGCACTGCAGTAGGATCTCAGCTAGGGTGCTTCAGCATGACATTATTTGTGTACTTGGAATAACACAGCTGTACATAAGCTGAGACTGTGGTTTGTGTGACAGCAGAGAAATTCAAGTGGAGCCTCAGTTGAATTTAGGTATACAGAGACTTTTTGAGACACCTAGGAATGTCTAGGCTTTTGTTGCTTTCAGATTTTCTTTTACAAAATACTTCAGAGTGCAAGGTTTTAACTTAATTTGATCTTAACCTAATTTGTAGGTTAAGATTTTTTTTTGGGCGGGGGGGAAGAGAAGATGCAAACAAAAAACCCAGACAAACAAACAAAGGAAAGAATATTGCAGAAACTGAAATTTTAGTGCACATATCATAGTATGTTATGCTTCAAATAAAGCGGCAGGTGCATTCCTCTTTCATAATTTAAAGGAGATTGAAAGTTTATAATGTGTTTGGGTTTCTGCTTGATTTGTATTTGATTTTCTGCTTGCCTTCTATAAGACATTTATAGAAGCAAATCTAGTTTAATGAAGGTTTTAATATTTTAATACTTTGCTGAAGGAATGTCACTAGTTAAAGAAATTACACAGACAGTATTTTGAAAGATAACCAATTTATGTTATTAAAAGAATTTTGAAATTGAAAGCCTAATGGGATGCATCTCCTTTTTCATCCCACATGCAGCCAACTTCCATTTCATGCTTTTCTGACTCTGGGCAATGGAGATGGAAGTTTTGCTATACAGAACAAAAGGCAGGAGACCTGCCTTCTGACTGTAGCTCTATTCTCAGGCTTGTTCCTGAGTGATTGCTCTAAGCCTTGACTAGTATTGATGTTCTGCTTTAGGAGGATCTTGAGATTGAAGTGTCTCTTACTTCAGTATATTCATAGCAATTTTAAAGTGTTTTTCTTCTCAGGAGATGGTATGATAAAGCAGTGGTAGTGATTTGTTTTGAAAATGCTTTTAATCTGCATTTATAGGGATTTATTGTGGAATCACATATCTTCCATAAATCCGAGGGGGAAAGTAGCCACACAATGTTCTTGAGCATTTATTATGAATGTAAAGGTGTCCAGCTTCTTTGTCTTTTTGCTTCAGATTCCCGAAACTCATGCTGTTGCCGTGTCTTTCAATGTTTGAAAAATCAAACCCCACCCTTCCTGACAGCTGAAAAAAAAAAATGCAGGACTCTTTTCTGCTCTGCAGTTCAAGTGTACAGTAGTGTGTGTGTTCATTTGTGTGATTATTTTATTTCTTTTCATAAGCAACCACAGTATGAGAGCACACCACTGCAACCTCACATTTCCGAAAGATCAGCATCCCACCTTGAGGAGCTTGAGCGAAAGATTGCAGCCGCTGAGAGCAAGGAACTGCAACTCAGTGAAATCGTGAAACAGCTTTCAAACAAATCCAGTGAGGAGAAAAAGAAGATGGAGGAGAAAGTAAGTGTCTTTCCTGATCCACATTTTGTTTTGTCGCTGTTGCAGCAGCATATTTTTGCTAGAAAGCAACTCGATATATGGGTTGAGTTATTTTCAAAACATCACTAAACTATCCATGATAGAAAAAAGATTAATGATTTCAGGTGTTAGTAATGGATAAATCTGGACTTGCAGAGAATATATCCTAGAAAGTGATACTAGGTGAAATGTTAATCATGGTAACAGTTTCAGTAAGGTATCGGTTAAGCTTTGGGAAAAAAAAGCTGTTCAGTATTGTGGCCTGTAGTGTTTATTATGTAAATAAAATATAATTTAAAAATATAGATTGTGAAAATTAAATCCTTATTTTTAGTGTGGTTTGTAAATGTGGCCCTCAGGCTTTGAGATGCACTTACCAGCCTGTATGTGCCTATTTAGCAGGAGTGATTCTCTTGTAGCTTTCTTAGAATGTTCAGAGTAGACTTTAGACTGAGACAAAGATATCTGTGTTCTTGGAACTGTTTGGAGACAGGGTTTCTTTGCAGGCGTGAGGAATTCCCAGGGATAGCTTTGAATGTACTCACAGCCTTCCTTTATTGCAAGCAGGAATGTGCCATTGACCAAGGGGTTCCTAATTAATGTTTTAGGGATACATTGTCACTGTAACCTCATCTTCTTTAATTACTGGGCTAAATTTATATTAAATCAGGTTCAAGAGATAGAAGCAGTGCGATACAGTGAAGTGTCTGGTGGGAAGACAAAGAAGAATGCATAATTCATCTCTAAATTCTGCCTTACCATTTCCTGTGAACCCTCAGTATGCTTTTCACTGAGGCAGGAAGAGCAGAAATTGCATACTGCTGCTTCCTCCTTTGTGAGTTTTCCTGCCTGGATTGCTCCCTGTGTGGGAACTGGCAAGCAGGGGTGAGGACCTGTGCAGCAGTGCTTGTGTTGGCAGCATGGTCTGTAGGTTGGAGCCTGTTTCACTGCACAGTCCTGATTTGCCCCTTAACACTCATCCATTCTGAACAAAAAGCTCTCAAGGAGAGAGAGGGGAAGGGAGGGACAGTGAAAAATACTCCTTTTTCCTGCTGTTCTTTCCACTTTCTGATCTAGGTAATAAAGCAAAAGAAGTACCAGGAATACAAACAAATATAACATAATGTAAAAAGTCTTTTCCAGGCTCATGGAAAATTAGGGTGCCTACAGAAAAGGTGTTTAAGAAAGCAGCTATTCTGATCTGATATCTTCTGATGTGATTGTCAGACTGCATCAAAATCAGGGTTTTGGCTTCCATTTTTGGTAGTTTAAGTTCTTGGTCCTCCTGTTTTTAAGTTGTTTTCCTAGTCTAGAGGAACTAAAATGTATCCTGATTATTTGTTATGTATGAACACCTCAGTGGGTGAAAGAATTAACAATTAACAAACTTTGTGTTTTCATAAGGTACGTGGATTGTTCTGAGCAGAGGTGAAGCAGCTGTGGTTTGAGGACACATGTGGGCCTGTAACTTGAAGCTGTTGGGAGTAATAACTTTTGGTTTTGTTTCCTGCTCTTAGCCAATGCTTTCATGCAGCGGAAAGTACAATTCTCCGAGAATTAGCAACCTCTGCTTCCAAAGCAGGCTTATTTTTACAGTTATCATAAAACATGTACTCTTTCTTTCTTTCTTCTAGCTTAAAACTAGAGACCGATATATTAACAGCCTGAAAAAGAAATGCCAGAAAGAGTCTGAGCAAAACAAAGAAAAGCAAAGACGAATTGAAACGTTAGAAAAATACCTGGCTGACCTTCCTACACTAGATGATATAGAAGGGCAGACTAAACAGGTACGGTAAAGGGGGGTTTGTTTTACATTTTAAAAGATATAAGTAAGCTCCCTAATATCTGTTCTGAAATCTTTTACTGTTTCAAAATCTCTTTTTTTCACCCTTATGTTTGGGAAGAGAAATATTTCAGTCTTTTAGAAAGCACTATAGATACTAGGATTTTCTCACAGTCAGATAAGTGACACTGGTGTGAAATTATGCAGCGGGTCACTGCAAGGCTGTGGTCTGACACAAGGCCTTCTGCTGGTGTGACACTGTCTGACTAATGTAACCTTGTGTTAGCTGCAAATTCTAGAAGAGAAGAACAAGCAACTTCAAGAAACCGTGGCTGAGTTGGAAAAGAAGCTTGGAGAGGCCCGGTCACAGTGCAGAGAGAGAGAATTACAGCTGGCGTCTCAGAAGAAAAAAGAAAAAGAGCTGGTCACAACAGTGCAGAGGTATGAGCAGCTGCTCAGGCTGTGCTCTGCAGTGAGTATGCTTCCCCACCTGATGTCAAGACCCAGTGCTATTTGGAATCTTAATCAATTACAATGCTAATGACTTTTTATGGTAAGGGTTTTACAACTTGCTTTGTGGCAAGTTGTAATTAATACCAGAGAGAAGAGTGAGCCTAGGGTGTTCTTTGCTATCTGTCTTTAAGGGTGTGGGACACTCCAGCAATGGCATCAGAGCCTGTTGCCAGAGAGAGGATGCAGCAAAGCTGTGTGGCAAAGGGGCATTGTATAGAAGCTGTCAGTAGGGCTATTTCTGGATATTGACTGATGGATATATCAGGGAAGGGTCAAAGATTTCAAGAAATTCCAGCCATTTCTTACCTTTTTATCGAGGGTGCAGGTATTTACAAGAAAATTTAGCTGTAGCTAGTGTGTTGTCATTGAACTTGCCTAAGTATGAAAAAACAAATGGGACAGATATCCAAGAATATCCAGGTAAGACATGGAGACTTTGTTACTATGTTCTATTTTAGGGGACCTACTTAAACAATTTTTGTTTTATTAAAGGGATGAGGGAAGCAGGGGAGAATCACTGTTAAGTATCTGTGGGTGTTCCTGCGGTTTGTTGTCCCTCCCTTGGGTAAAGGTGCATGCCACAGGAGCCTGAAAGGTTTCCATGATGAAAGGGGAGCTGGCTGGGACACCTTGCCAGCCAAATTGTTGACACATTGTTTCCATCTTACCAATGGAAGGCTTTCGTGCTCTCCTAATCTAGAGGGGGATCATTCTGTCTTTTCTGAAAGCCTACAAATAGTTGGGGTGACCTCTGGTTTCTAAATTAGACAGCAAGATTAGCACTAATAAAGTGTATTTCCTTTCTGAGAGAAGGTGAGCAGATGGAGGCTGTAGCTACACGTATGGGTTGGGTTGAGCAATGGAGGGTCTGAAGGCCATGCCCTTGTGTGGGAGCATTCCTGGCAGGAATGGCCTTGGGCTCCCCATTACGAGTCACAGAGGGTGTGATGGATGGGGCACCAGCACTGCTGGTGCACAGCATTTGATTCTGGACTCCCCTTTGAGTTGTATGTGCCCCAGTGAGACAATCTGATTTTAATGCTCCCAAAGCTGTGAAGGTTCACAGATGCCTCTGACCTGTGCTTCCCTTCCCCCAGTGGCACAGAGCAACTGTGAGCACTGCAGAGCTTTACTTTGCTCCTCTGTGCCCTCTCTTCCTACACAGTACTGCTGGAGCTGTGCCTGTTGGGACACTCAGCACAGAGTATGGCACATAAAACCTGCATTCATGTGCATGAATCTGCCTTGTCAGTGCCATTGCAACTTGAATAGTTTAGAATTTTTGCATTATTCATGCACTGTTGGTGCATGAATCACATAAGGCTGGATTCTGCTAGGTACAGTTTTATGGTTCTGGTTGGGAAGATGATGCAGTTGATGAAGTTTCTGATGCAGATGAAGTTTCTGATTTTTTCCTAGAACACACAACCCTCTGGTTTCTATTAACCCACCTAATCTTTCTTTCATGTTGAATGGCAGTTTACAACAGAAAGTAGAAAAATGCCTGGAAGATGGTATTCGGCTTCCTATGTTGGACACAAAACAGCTTCAGAGTGAGAATGAGAGTCTCAAGGAGAAGAATGAGAAAGCCAGTAAGGTTAGTCTGCAAATAATCTGCTGGTGGCATCTTTAACCTTAAATCTTGCACTTCTTTTTTTTCTTTTTTTTTTTAATTTAGAAATAAATATCCCACTAAAGAATTACATATTTGTTGCTAATTCAGATGACTTTTCAAGACCTGCCTGTCTCTGTTCAGAATACTGATTTTGCATTAATTTTGTGTTCTGTCAGAGTTGAACTGTCTTGTCATTTGTTTTTTTTTAAAGATGCTATTTAGAATCTGTGTCTACACACCTGTAGGCTGATTTTTAGACAATGATCTGAAGAGATTTAAGTCTTCTAAATTGCTGAATTTTATATTCCAGATAATAGACAATCAACAAAGTCAGATAACTGGACTGATTTTGGACATGCAGGTAAGGAAGAGTTTATATTCTGTTGTTTACTGTGTGCATTTTTAGTTCACAAGAATGACATAGCTAGAGTTTAATTTTATTATTTTATCTTTCTGAATAGGAGTCAAAGGGAGAATTGCCAAAAACCTAATCTTATGGGTGGATTGTAGTCAACCCATGTTCTCTTGCAGGCTCATGGTGTAGTTGTTATATCTCTGTGGTTTAGCACTTCACTGGTACTCATCAAAAAGTGAAAAACTGTTGCTATGTTGCATCCTAATCCTGCTGGTCTAGCGGATCATCCAAAGTACAACAGCACTGTTGCTTAGGGGCTTCAATGTTCAGTTTGTTAGAAGAGACAGGTGCCTTTCTAAATTATCTCACTTCATCCTGTTCAACTGGTACTGTCCGGCTGGATGTTGGGCAGCCAGCTTGCAGCCAGAGATTTTTCTAGACAGCAGAGGTTGTCAGCTAGGAGTCAGCTGCAGCTCTATAGATCTGATTAAGAGAGTGTTGAAAGCTACTCAGTGACTGCTGTTTGTTGTGGAGAAAAAGAAACATTAGACAGCTTTTAGAAATGAAGGTATTTCTTGTCATAGAAAAAGCTGATAATTTAAGCAAACCCGAACATCTGTTTTCAGCAAATATAGAAGCCAAACTCTAGTTTCTACATTCCTCTTCTAGAATGTCATTTGTCTGTTAAAAGTTGTCTCCCACCGTTAAATTGCTTCCTTTCTCTGCCGTGGTAAATAGGAGGCCTGATTCCTGTCAACAGCATTTGTTTTGTTAGATTGCAGTGTGTGAAATATATCTGTAGAGAAGTAGTAGGAGAATTTAATTTGCAACATGAGGTATGTATGTTAACTGAAAAGGAAATTGACTTATTTAGCTTCTCAAGGTTTGAAGAAGACTGATTTTATCAAACTGAGATGTTTTCATGGAGCAGACTGGTATGTGCAAAAATTGTAATACAGGCAGCTGTTGTTTCAGGTGTTATATAATTAAAAAGAAGTTCAGCTTGAACTTCATAACTTTTTTGAGGTTCTCTGCGCCTTTTTGTACTTAAGATTATTTACACATATGCGCATATGTGCTCCATATATATTATCAGAGATAGACACAGCTTGCTAGGTATGTTACCAACCTAAATCTTTCCACGTTTCCTAAACTTTCTGGTCTTTTTCTCACCATCACCTTTATGTTGGGACTAGTGATCTTTAGTGTTTTGTGTGCTTAGCCTGATATGACTTTAGGGAGCTGGACTGGGAAAAGCTGAATAGTTGTGACTGTCTGTGAACAGGGTACTGTTCTGTTCTCCAGGACTTCCTCTTTCTTTTCCTCTTGAGGTGTTTTATATGGGGACAGAAAATAAGATTTGAAAGTGGTGTCAGCCCTCAAATTACTTGTAGACTATAGGAGCTTCTTTGTATCCTTGATCTCCCTGGCCTTCCATACTTGTGACCTGGGAAGCACTGAAAATTAGCTCATTGGAAATGGAAATCCCTTATCAGCACAGAGATGCAGTTTATCTTCTGCTAAGATGATCTCATTTTATTCCATGTCTTCTGCCACATTGTAAATTTATGCTTGGGAATGTATTTCAGTTCATTGGTTTTGACTTGCAAGGTGAAAACAAATTGTGTTTCCAACAGCAGTTGTATAAAGCAGTATTAGTTTCTATTTGCTCATAATCATGGTGAAATTATTTTGATCTTCCTTGTATGGTTTTACTTCATTGATTTGTTATCTGAGTGAGAGGAATTAAAATTTTTGTTAGCCTTGGCAAGATGCTGTGCTGCATATATAGTGCACCTTTAGAAAGAGAAACATTGTAGGTGACAGTGGTGTTTTAAAGAGAAATTCATATTTACATGATTAATTTGGATATCACAAAACAAACAGTTTTGGTACAAAAAAAGAGAGTAGAAGTCAGATTGTACAATGCCTATGTTACCCAAAGTACACTTGTCAATCTTGTCAGTCACAATAAACCCCAACTGTTCCAGGCTGGGAATATTGCCACCAAATTTTAACTTTGGAAAGCATATGGAAGAATTAAGGGTGAAGTATAAGGAATTCACAGCACCATGTGGAACATGGAAAACTTAGCACTATAGGTTCAGTCAGGCTGTTCTTTTTCTGAGCTTTAAGATGAGGGTAACCAGAGAATGATAGATCTTAGATGTATCTTTTAAATATAAACACTGATTTCTACTTCTAGTAGTTCCCATTACATGGAGCAGTTACTGAGCTGAACATGTGCACATTGCATGGAATATTCTAAAAGTTGTTTTTTGCTTCATTTGCAGAGTCATGTAAGTTTAGTGGCAGATGTAGTTCTGAAAATACACTGGGAAAGGTTAATATTTCTCGCCCTGTCTTCCCTACCACCTCCCCCTTCCAGAAGGCTGAACAATCACACCTTTTTTGTCTGTTGTTGACATGAACATGAAACATAGAAGTGGTAGTCCTAATGCATCTATCATAGCTTAGGCACTGGGTGTCTCTGAACTTGATCTTCCAAATATCTTCCAATTTTAACAGTCATTAATGAAGCTGGGAGGGTGTTTTTGGCATTGCATTGCCCTGTTCACTTCATGCTTCTTAAGTATGACATCTGTACTCCACAGATGGAGCTTGAAGGACCTTCAGTCCAACCTAGTAATGGTGATTTTTCTCAGTAGATAATGTTTATAAAAGCCTAAAGGCAACAATTCAGCATCACTGCAGGTTCTGCTCATCTGCAAGCACGCAAAGGAAATGCCTGAAGCAGTTATTTCCTGCCCTCTCCTGGCCCAGGGTGTTTCCTTTGCCTCCTTCCTCCCACTGGTGTGTGTGGCTGTGCTCTCTCAAAGAGCTTATCTTTAGGATACATGTTACTTCAGCACTTCCTTTCGAGGGGCAGGCTGTGGGTTAAAAGAGCAGCAGGTCAAGTGTACGAAAATGGTTTTAAAAACAAGTAATCATATCTGGGTTCTGCCTGCTCATTCCTACTGCTGACGTGAAAATAAAGTGTTAGGGGTTTTTTAGTCCACATTAAGTCTGTAAATGTTAGCACCATTGTTTTCCAGTTTTGCAAAGTGTGAGACAGAGTCCCCACTGCTTGTGTGGTGTCGAACTGAATGTGCAGGGAAGTTTTGTCAATGCTGCAACACCTCCTGTGACTCGCCAGACCTTTAAAAACTTCATGTAGTGTTGGACCTGCCTTGCCTCTCATTACTCCCTGCCTTCTCATCAATACTGGTAAATCTTACAGGTGGCAAGTCACAGCTGAAGAGATCTCTCTGTTTGAAAGCACCAGGAGTTTATGTAGTCTCTATTCATTGTTAGTATTCAGATAAGATGGCTTGAATATTCCTCTTTCTGAATTTTGCCAGATGACCTGAAAAGACACATCTGCAGATTTAAAGGCCAAGTAGTAGAATAAATATGAGTACTTTCAAGAGTAAAGGCACCTGTGCTCATGCTGGATTCACCCTGAAAATTCCATTTCTCAGTTTGAGCTCTGTGGGTGAAAGCCGGGGAATTGACAGCAGGTGATTCTGTACTGCAGCAGTTTTTTTTGTTGTTGTTGTTTAAGATCGTTAACCTGTGTTTTCATTCATTTCAGTCTATGCAAGAGAAGCTTTCACAAGAAAAGCTGATAATTCAGAAGATGACAAATGAGCTTGAGGAAAAAGAAAGACATATAGAGCAGCTGAATAAAACTCTCTCTGAAGTAAGTAAAATAGCACTAGTATCCCAACCCCCCACCACATCAGAGCCAGGAAGAACCTTATAGAATAAGATCCCTTGGTAGGACTTTATGAGCTTTATTACGTAGTTAAATATCCTGGCTCCCAAGCAGATATATAATGCATACCACCCCTGTCTAAAGAAGTGAGAGTTTAAAAGGTAAAGATGCAGAAGTAATGACAACATGAAATAGCCCTATAAAAGCTGTCTGTATGCTGTTCTTTAGAGGGCTACAGAAATATTGATTATATGCTTGAAAATTAATTCTTTTAATTGTGCTATTTGTGGCTTGAAACTTTCTGCTCCATTGAATGCTGCAGACTAACTTTCCCCCTTTTTCTATTTGTTTTTCACAAAGAACCAAAGACTGATGGAAGAGAATGCCTGCCTGAAGGAGCAGATGAGGCTGGTGGAGCAGTCCAGGCAGCCAGTGTCTGAGAAGATGCCTGTAGCAGACCAGTTGTTCAAGGAAATGTCCCACTGCTTGTTTGACTTGAAAGCACTGTGCAGTATTCTTACCCAGAGAGCTCAGGGCAAGGAGCCTAACCTTTCCTTACTGCTGGGAATCAGATGTAAGTGATGCTGACTTTCCAGTGCTTAATAAATGTTTTGACACAAAGGAATAACAGTTTAGCTAATGTGGTGCTTGAACTTGCCAGCTGGACAAGCTTGTGTCCCCTTGCTCTGCAGCTGGAGCAGTGGTGCATGAACTCATGGAGCTCTCTGGAGAAGCTGGGATCTTCGTGCCTCTGGGCCACTAAATGCATGTGACTGCACAGGTCCTTGCCAGGTCAGGAGAGCAGGTAGCTGGCTCTTCATGTGGACCCAGTCATGGATATGTTCACTGCTCTAGAAAAGAAAGGTGTGTAGCCAGGTGTCTGTCCCTCCTGAGACACACTGCAGTCACTATGAGGGTTAACAGATGCTAACCACATCTTGTGCTTTGGTTTTAAAGCCTTTGGGGTCAAGTGATAGGAATATCCATCTACTGTTTGAATATGTATAGGTCTTATTTGGGAGTGGGGATGTCCAGGTGTTTGAAATAAGCCTTGTGCCTGTAACTTCATCTCTTGTGCTGTTCATCTAGTCTTCAGCATTTACTAAGCTATTAAATTTAACCAGGAAATTAGAAGCACACCCTAAAATGCACTAAAACCAGTCAAAGTTTATGTCAGGTCTTTCCTTCTAACAAGCTGTTTGTGTTGACCTGAATGTATCATATTTGGATGTTCTCTGAATGTTAGTTAGAATTCATCAGGTGGATGGGTTGCTGAACTGAACCATCAGCAAGGTTCAGTTCAGCAGCAAGAGCTGCTACACACCTGCTAGCCCTCTTTTCTGAGTGGCTGTAGAAACCCCCAAAGTCTCTAGAAATGCTCTTTTCATTTTTTTTCCACTGTTGTTCTGATTCATCAGACTTTAGGAAGTCTAGATCTTGGTGCAGACAGAAAAGCATGTCTTTCAGAGAAGAACTGATGGGCTTTGAATTGAGTTTAAGTTCACTTGGTACCTTATTTTGTAGACTTTTCATCACACGGAAGCATGATTTGTCTTGATGTAAAGCAAGTGACCTGCCTCTTATTTCCAAGGAGGTGACTAGTTGCAGAATTCAGAGGCCACAGCTGCTGGAGCTTTAACCTTGGGTGTTGTTTTTTGTAGCACTGAGCTGCTCATCTGAAGAGAGTGAAAATTACCACAGCACAGAGACCCTTTCGAAGAAGCTGTCGGACGTTTGTCAGCTGCGGAAGGACATCGATGAGCTGAGGACTATCGTGTCGGACCGCTACGCTCAGGACATGGGGGACAACTGCATCACTCAGTGACAACACCCCGTCCTGTAGCAAACTGCTTACTAGGTCCTGCTGTGTCACAGGTCTTTGCATTTCCATTAAGGAGCCATATGGAGGGCTGCAAATAGCACCAGACACGCATCTCCGAGCGCTGTGTGGGATGGATCTCGGGAGTCCGGTGTGCAGGAGGCAGTCATCGTGTGAACAGTGGTACAAACTGCAAGAAATCTCTTCTCCAAACTACTGAATGTAGGAACAAGCTGTGAAGAATGATTCAGTTGGACACTCTGTTTCCTTCATTTGGGCTCATTTCATTACTTTGCCTAGTTTTTGGATCCAGAGCTTTGGAACAGTCGTGCTGCTACAACTCTCAGTCCTTTCCTTCAGCAAGGGTTTGTGTGGCATTATCTGAGTTCAGATCTTAGGGGAGAGGGTTGAAGAACCTATGCATGTGTATGTCTGGCTGTACATGATGAAGCCAGAGGCTTCTACCACTGCACTTCACTCTAAGAATTACAATTAGAACAATCTTGGAACATTCAAAAAGTAATTGCTCTCTAAAAATTAGGATATAAGAAAGATGTTTTTGGCAATGGATGTCTACCTTGTTTGTCCAGTAGCAGAAAAACCCCAAGTTTAACTCCTTTATGCAAACAAGTCCATAAAACAGAGCTTAAGCAGATTGTTTGAAGCACTCCAACATTGCTGTAAGAAGTTGGAATAGGTCAAAGTCTGTGACAAACCAGAGAAGCTGTAAGACATAAAACTGCAGCTTACTCCATGGCTATAAGAAAAAAACCCCAAAACAACCAACAACTGTATTTTAGTGTTTGTATTTCTTTTTCCTCATAGGTCGTTTCCATTTCAAAATGTTGCTGTACTTTGTTCCTGAAGGCCTCTGATAAGGTTGTGCACCACCTCAGCCATTTTTACCACAACTACAAAAAGGGTGTTTGACTCTTGGCAAAATGAAGCCTCGAAACAGAATGTTTCCAGTTAGCAGTGTAAAGTACTTGGTAATCTGAGGACTGAAAAATTTTCCACATTGTTTGGGAAATCTTGATTTCTCCATTTTTGTAGGAAGCAATTACATAAAATAGTAAGCTCATGTTCCATAGCTTATTCAATGAGTGTCACTTGGCAGTGCTCTTTAACTCCCATGGGACAAATGATGTTTCCAAGAACATCCTTGCAAGTTAGTTTGCCCAAGTATGAATGGTGGAAAATAGTATTTAACTGAAGGAAACAAAAATTTGCAAAGAGTAAAACTGCTTTTAAATCACACTGTTAAGAAAAATACATGCATCACTTACTTGTGTGGTATTGCAGGAAGGTTTTAGATGTCTTAAGGTGCAAGTCAGTCAGCTGATCTGGAGTGGGGATAACAGCAGAAATCTCTTCAAAAGCTTAGCAATTCAAACTAAGTTTTGTTACTAGGGTAACATTTTTATGGCAAAAGTGGATATCTTCAGTTTTCTGATCTGGTGATGTGTTGCTTTCTGTTTATTGTGTAACAGTTACTGTTAATGTTGTTTTTTATAATTTAGTGGTTTAATTATTTTTAGCTGTATGGTTTTATTTATTTGACAGTTTTCTCTATCCTGAAGTAGACTTGGACTAATTTGTGAAAAATAGTGTTGCTATTTATACTACTGCTACATGGTGTTATCAGATAGATTAATCTGACTGATTCAGCTCCTGTGAGCACTAAAGCAGTGTCTAGATAAAATCACAAGTGAAGTTATCTAGTGTCTACTTCAAGGAAAAAGGCCATTTTATTTTAAATTTCTCTACTCTTTCTGTAGGCACACTTCAGTCTCTCCATCAGGGCATAATTTGCTCCAGTCTTCATTGTCCTTCTCAGTGGTGTGATGCAGGTGGAGTTGGAAGTATAATTATGCTCTTCTCATTGATGTGATGAGTTCTGCTATGAGTGGGGAAAAGATGTTCTGAGCTAATCTGCATTCTTAGACTGCAAACAGATCAATGGTTGTTATCTAAAGGGGTGATTTACTCTGGTAGCTCATAACAATATTAATTTCACATTGATACACACCTGCTGCATCACAGGGGTACTTTTATACCAGTGCAAAACTGAAAACAAGGATCCATGTACCAATGGGCTTGCACAGTCTGCTGCGCCTCTGACAGTGCTGGCTTTTGTGACTAAGGCTTCAGCTCGTTCCTCTGGTGTGGTTGGTTGGGTTTGTCCCTGCAGTGAGGCAGTCTTTAGTTTATGGCATCTGTCTCCTATCAGAATTTAACAATAGCATTTCAGATAATAAATTAGAAATATTAGGGAGAGAGGAAACCTACAAGTTACACATTATTGCTTCCTTAGATGGCAATGTTGTACCTATAAAAAAATCTCCAAAACATTAATCTACATTTGATAGAAATAACAAGGAGTTGAATGTAGAAATTACAGGGGAGCAGGAGATCTTCTGAGTCACTTTGAACTATTAAGCTTGTCACTTGATTGGTATTTCTCCACTGTTCCTCCTGCTAGATGATGATACTGTACTGCAAAGTTGAGATCACTAGTTTATATTTGCCAAGCACTTCAGAGCTTTTATGCTCTTCGAGTATTAGTTGAAAGTCCCTCTGGGAGGGGATCCCATTTTATTCATAATACTTTTGATTGCAGTGCTGTAATCTTGTGTTCTAATGTTTTTGTTACAGAACCTGTAATATTTATGTTGACTTGAAAGCACTTGATTTAAAACCCCCTGAGTTTATCTGCCTCAGTCAGATTAAAGTAGGGAGGTAAATGATGGATGTGTGAGCCAAAGAAGCAGACTACCAATTGACTATTTACAGTGATACAGTACTTTGCTTTGATTTCTTAAAATTTGGCCTGTTGTAGTGGTAGCAATTACTATATATGCATCAGTTTACAGATGCCTCTAAACGGAATAAGCTTTGTCTAAGATATGCATGACTGTTTAATTGGTTAAAATGTAGTGTGTGTGGTCTCATTCAGCATATTTAATACAGAGGTGATTAACGAATGTTAACATTGGAATTGCTTCGATTTAGTCATGACAACTTTTTGCTGTAGCTATTAGACAATCCCAAGGGCTGAAAACAGCTGCAGATGAATGGATTCTGTACTGTTCTGGCTGTCAGCAAACTGTACATTTTGTACAGTTCCAAGTAGAATTTATATGATCCTCTAGAAGATACTTACAGTAACTACTGTATTTAAGAATGTATTTTGAAAAAGACATGAAAAGTAACTGTCTTCCGACAAGCTGTAGATGATGTATTCACTATATAGAAATATTTACTATATAGAAGTAACTCAGCTCAGTCATGTAAATGTGATTTAGGTTGCTGAACTCTGCTATGCAGCTTTGTGGTGTGACAGGTGTGTGAAATTGTGGAGATTTGCTGTAACCACCCACTCAGGCTCCAGCATTTGAAGCTGATGGTGGGCATGAAGTCATTCGAGAGCTGAAATTCCGTCCTTTTCACTTCAGAAGGTTTCCTTCCTTCCTTTGCCCTTGCTGCCTGTCTTTAGTTTCATACATTTTTTTGTTTTTTCTTGGGAAGGGTAAGAGCACAAGGAAAGGAAGAAAGCAAACCCTTCCTCTGTGACCTGCTGCCATAGCACGGGCAGTGACAGCAAGCTGGGCTCTCTCCATCAGGGCACAATTTGCTCCAGTTTTCCTTGCCCTTCTCAGTGGTGTGATGCAGGTGCAGTTGGAAGTATAATTGTGCTGTTCTCATTGATATGACGAGTTCTACCATGAGTGGAGAAAAGATCTGAACTAATCTTTGTTCTTAGACTGCAAACAGCTCAATGGTTGTTATCTAAAGGGATGATTTATTCCAGTAGCTCATTAGCAATATTAATTCCACAGCTGCATACCTTTGTGCCTTTTTAGCCTGAAGTAAATAAATGTATGTCCCCATGGAACTTCAGATAAGTTGTTAGCGTGCTGATGACTGCACCTTGTTTTCTTCTCACCTGCCATTACTTTGTTAATAAGCTTTTGTAGTAAGAACTCTTGCATAATGTCTAGAAACAGAAATACTGAAAATAGGTACTAGGTGTACACTTTGAATGTTAGGCTGGTTGTTGTATGCAGCTTCTTTGAATACGGTGTGTGAGCAGGAAACACAAATCATAATGTGTTTTTTCTGTGTATATTAATTACAGTATATCATTAGTTCAGTGGGGAGGAGTGTCTGGAGCTCTCTTGTAAAAGCACAGCTGACATATGTACTGGATCAGTCCCTGAAGACTGGTAGTTTTGTAAATTGGGTTCAATTTTTGAACTGCTCAGAATACCTCATATGTAAATAGAGTTGTCATGACTTAATCACAATGTGTTCATTGTAAAAAGTAATGGAGCCACTGGCTGGCTCAGCTTTAGGCTTGTTGTTCTTGCCTCTTTTTGTAATTTTTTTTAAAGTAGGGTTTACAGCTAGAATTTTGAATGCCAAAGTTCTATTTATTAAATAATAATAAAAGTTTTCATTGTTAATGACTGGTATTTTTCCACTGGAATTTGTTTGTTGATGTTTGGGATTTGTATCCACAGAGCAGAAATAAATTTTGTTACAAAAGTGAATTTTTCACGGTTCTCGTTTGTCCAGTATCTGGCATGTGACAGAAGTGATCAAAGCTGGAGGCAAGAAACGAATCATGAAACATCTTCCCAACACCCACCCCAGCTTCTTTTGAGAGGTCTGTTCTGCCAAAATACCAGGTGACCAAGCTCTCTCTTCTAGGCCTTATGTTTTGTTGTGTTGTTCTTGTTTTTTTTCATCAAGATCTTGATATAAAAATTATTATTTCTGTATGATAAAAGGATTTTAGAGCAGCATTCCCTGATTCTTTTTTGCAGATGCTCTTGTTGGTTGATTGGAGAGATCACTGGTAGGTCTGTTTAAAAGACTAAGCACAAAATTGTAGGCAGAAGTCAGTAATCTCTGCTTCATGGAATACTGCAGGTCAGTACAGCCCAACACAACCAAGCAGCATTGACTTCTGAAAAGTCAAAGGGTAAGGATTTTGGTCAATCTGACAGGAGTCTTCACAAGTGTGGAGGGAAGTGGGGTCACCCAAAAGGGGTTTTTTCACAGTTCCTTGTGATAAATCTTGGAGCCCGTTTGGAGCATCAGGTGCTGAATGAGCTTTGCATGTGGAGTGGTCTTCTCCTCCCTTCCTCACCCTCCATCGTGCAGAGGGCAAAAGCTGGCACTAGCTTTTCTTTTCAAAGGCACTGAGAAATGCACTCCAGTTAGGTAATGCATTATATATGGCAGACATCACTTGCTTTCCTCCAGAATTGTGACTGAAGGTTGCACGATGGGTTTCTAACTCAAAAACATCCATGTCACAGGCTGCACAGATGCCAGCTTTTTATAGATTGCTGAGGGTGGCCTTTTGTGAGCTGCTGCTCAAAGCCAGGTTTTGTTTCAAAGTACAACAACTAAAGCACTGCTAGCAACAGTAGTGGTAGAAAATGTCCTGTTGCCTTTTATTCCACAAACAAAATACAACTCCACATATGAGTAAAAA